TAAGATAACCTCCATCCATGTACATAAAGTCCTTCTACCATTTCTGGAGCTGGGATCTAATGCACGAGCAGTGGCCTGCCAAGATTAATGGTCAAACTTTCAGTGCCTTGGTTCTAAGCATTACCCAGCTCAAGTGCTAAAGCCCACAGATTCAGGTCCTCTTGGCTAAACATCTACCACTGCAGGATGCCACAGCCACCTGGGCTAACATCAACTCTAAAGTAAGGGGAAGGCCTCTGCTTTTCCAGGCCCTAGATGCTTCTGTGGCAAACTGGAAAACAAAATATATATATATATATATATATATATATATATATATATATATACACACACACACACACATATATGTTTATGCAGTTGCTTATTTAAGTGGATATTTAATTATCCACTTTACAAAAAGTCAGCGGTATAAGCTATATAAATTCTTTCTGGGGCAAAAAGATGTTACCCAATAGGTTGGAATATTAAATAAAACTAATCTCTGCAAGACTGGTGGCTTATTTGGGAGATCAGATAAATGTAAGAGCCTTGAATACAATTTTAGATGAGCTAAAGAATTATACATTCTTTCCATGATTTTATTTACCTCTTTTTGCTGAGACATGAAACCTTTAGTCTGTGACCACAGAAATTACATCATCATCAGTGTAAGATCAGTATGGCAGGTCAGGAACAGTGTTCCCAATATAAAATAAAGGGATTTTTTCCTTTTTTTTTCTTTCCTCTTTGGCATCTTTTTTTAACTACTCTATAAAAGGTTCTTCATCATATACATTTTTTTAAACTTTAGGACATGTACATGACATCTTTTGCCCGTTATAAAGGTTTGACCACCTTTACTTCAGGAAGGAACACATTTTAGAGAAAATTATAACACGTACTGCGTGTCAATTTTTTTTGAGTACAGTTACTTCTCTCGACTGTTTCTTAGTAGATAGAGAAATACATTATTAGTTTGCTTGCCCTGAAGCATGACACTAATTACTGCTAATCATTCTGCCCATGTTTATTCTTGATGTACAAGCAGCACCTTCTGCCAACCACATAAAGGCATCAGAGTGAACCAGATATCACAGCAGCTTAATAGATCTAGCCATAGCATGGTTTTAATGAACTCTATACTCATGTAAATGTCTATTATACTTATGGAGCTCTGTCATGAATGAAAATTAGCTCAACAGTCATTAACTGAGACAAGGAGAAAGGTCACCATGTGCCTTTGGAAGGTAATGCTTGCACTTACCACAGCAAGGCTGTGGAAATCAGATGGAAAACTAAACTAAAACTTATCTCATGGTATATTAGAGAGGAAGCATGGTTAGAACCAGGCAATGATCACTAGGATGCTGACGTTCTACTTCTGCTTGTTTGTTGTATGACAAGCTCTTCAGATTATTACCTGCCAAAATCAACATAAGACAACATATCTGATGTCAAATGGGAGAGTCATAAGAATGAGCGTTTCAATTAATCTCTCTGTAACAGCTGGTATGGTAGCTCACCACAGTATTATTGAACTACCAAGCAGGTATAAAATAATGCTACTTAATGAGCTGAGGAGATGAGGACTGAGTAGTAAGGGAGAAAACCTAGAACAATTGACTTCAAGGCTGTGCAAGTCTTGCTTCATTAACTGAGTAATTTTACAATAGTCTCACAGATTAGAACAAGCCACTTCAACCAGCCAAGCTGCTGGAACAGACAGTTACTACTATTGGTGCTTGCAGAATTCAAAATAATTCTATTGCCTATATCTCAACTTTTTACCCAAGGACTGGATCTACCTGGACATAAAAATCACCCGTTGACATGGCAGACAGTCTACACGACCATGTCTCACCCAACACACCAAAGGAGAGCACCTCCTCTCTCTCTCTCTCCCTCTATTTAGATGTATAATATTTACTCTTATTTATGCATTGAGACTGGAAGACAAAATTTAACTCTGTGGGCACCATGACTGGAAATGTGTGCCTCTATCACTCTAGACATAAGTTTTCATGTTTCTGAGGGAAGACAAGAGGTAAGACAATTCTGTCCAATACTGCTAGGGTGAGACTGATTGAACTCTGGTGGATCCAACCAGACTCTCTTGTCAGGAGGACCTCACATGATGTATTGCCCCCCCTTACTCCTATGCCTTCAGCAACAAAACTGCACTAGCCAGAGGACACTATAAACTTAGATCTTCTGAAAAACATTTCTGGCTCTGAAGCCACAGAACCATAGTTTTTACTAAATAAATTTTTAAAAATCTATAAGACAGAGTTTAAAGGAAAAGAAGATTAATGACTTACATGTGACTGCAACATTAAGCATCTCAAGGCTATGATTTCTCAGAAATAAAAAAAGTACCAGAAGAAAGCATTATTTTACTAGGTAAAAAATCGTTTCTTCTTATGCCAAGATATCAACCACCTTGTTTTTGCTATGATGGATGAAATTACTGATCACTGTCCAAAACCAGGCAGACAATCTCTAGCAACACAATAAAGACCTTGCAACACAGAACACCAGATATGTGTATGTACAGGTAGCACTTGTGATATCAAAGCCCTTTTAAACTGATTCAGAATGGAGACTCCATATTTTGCATTCAGGAATGGCTACAGCTACAGCTGGGACCAGTTGCTTCCTTCCACTGTGAGATGTGGAATTTTATGAAATGAAAACATTTTCTTACTTTTTGACCAGTTTTAGTCAAGCTGCCCCCTACACACAGACATTAAACAAAAAATTCATTTAGCATATAACTTCTCTTTCCCAGAGGCTGTTCAAGTGCTGGAACAGAGAGGAAAGCTTTGATAGGTACAGGAGGCAACTAAGAAATGCTGTGAGCTGGTGACAATTAATGGCAATTAATGCCCTGTAAGATTGCCACTGGAAACTGTCACATCCACCCCCTACAGATTAACAGTATTTCAGGTGTTGAGACTTTACAAGATAAGTTTTGGACTTTTCAGAACAGGTGTTTTTGTGTTTTGCTCTGTTTGGCTTTTTCCAGATGTGAAAGCAGCAATCCCACTGCAGTGTCACAGAAATAGCTTGGAGTTGGAGTAGATTTGTTCTTTGACTGTTTTGATAAGAACTGTGTTCTGTCTCCTCTGCCTTATTTGTGTGGTCTGCACCATGCTCCTCCCTGAAAGTACAACACACGAACAGGAAGACCAGGAGTTGAAACTTGCAAAATGCTGTCTTTGTCTGCAGACCTTGGTATGCTATACACAACGTGACAAATTCTGTTTCCTCCCCACTCTACCACGCATATTCATAAGCAAATAAAACAGCAGCACACAAACAGAACCAGTGATACATATAACAAACAACAGAAAAAAACCCTAAGAATGAAAGTAAAACGAAAAAAATCAATTAAGAGATTGTTTGCATGGCAGCTATTAACTAATATACCAAGGAAGAAATCTCCCCCCTTTGGGTAAATTACTTTAACAGGTAAATATCACCCAGTGAAGGAAACAGCTGATCAGAACGGAAATGTAAGGTTTCTGAGCTTTTAACTAAGTAGGTGTTCCCTTATGTACAGAAAGCAACTGAGATTTTCAAGTGAGATCAAACACAAGAAAAGAGAGTGAGAGCAAAATGCCCATGATGCTGACTAATTCAACATGATTTTGTACAACGTTCAAACTTGCAACTGATTCATTGTCTTCTTCTGGGAAAAGGCTGTCAAATGAGGCTGGCACTAAAGTCACATTTTTGCTCTTTAAACCTGCTTGCCTATTAGCATTCCTTCCTGCAGGAGAACTGAAATCAAACGCAGTATGTTTCAGACCTGTAGCTACGAGACTTCTGATTTTGATAGCAAGAAGCATCCTTATGTACTTATTCTGCAGTGTTGTTATTTATTCCCCTTCTACAAGAAAGACAGCATTTTCTAGAAGTCCGTATTTTCTCTTTGCACCTTTTACTCAAGGCTACTAGCATGCAAAGTGAACTATCTAACTCTTTGAATAATTTAACATGAAAACACGCACATCTGGCCATCTGCTGCTACAGTTCAAGAAACTCCAGCATTTCCGACGGCAGCTGCTACTATTACGCAAAGGGCAAACCAGGGCAAGAGGGACGCAGAACCTCAAACCTGCAGCAGGTATTCTGACCGGGACAGGGAGCTCTTCTGAAGTGCCACCACAGGCATGCCAACATCATCCCAAAAACGCAAATAACTTTTCCTAGCAACTGCGACGTGCTCGGTTATTTTGTGGCAATGGCAGTGGCTCGGTACACGCATCGGGCTCCCGGCCGCTCGTACCGCGGCTCC